CAACTGCTTGAGGCTCTGTCTAAAAATAAAAAAATAAAGATACACTTGAAGAAAAAAAGCAAAAATCTACTCAGCAGCATTCCGATTCAATCATTGAAATTTGTCTAGGGCTGTTTTATTTTTATTTTTTAGAGACAGGTCTCACTCTGTCACCCAAGCTGGAGTGCAGTGGCATAATCACAGTTCATGTAGCCTCAAGCTTCTGGGCTCAAGTGATCCTCCTGACCCAGTCACCAAAGTAGCCAGGACTACAGGCACGCACCACCATATCCAGCTAATTTTTAAATTTTTTGTAGAGATGGAGGTCTCACTTGCCCTAGCTGGTGTCTAACTCCTGGTCTCAGTGATCCTCTTGCCTCAGGCTCCCAAGTGCTAGGATGCCAGGTGTGAGCCACTATGGCCAGCCAGGGCTGTTTTATTAAGAAACCCCATCAATCAAATATTTAATTATTCTACACTAGTATTTTCAGAAGAAAGTAAACTGGCACACAAGCCACCAAATAGCAGTCACTAAAAAAGGCATGTTATATATGCTGAAGAATGGATGCTTAAGGTACTCTACTTACCGGAGATAAAACCCTGAAATGACTATAAAAGAGATCGGTTAAGCAGTGATTCTCAACCTTCCTAATGCCGTGACCCTTTAATACAGTTCATCATGTTGTGGTGACCCCCTACCATAAAATTATTTTCATTGCTACTTCATAACTGTAATTTTGCTACTGTTATGAATCATAATGGAAATATCTGAAATGCAGGATGGTATTAGGCAACCCCTGTGAAAGGGACATTCAAACCCCAAAGGGGCCACGACCCACAGGTTGAGAATCGCTGCGTTAAAGTGTATAATAAGGTTAAGAGCCTTTCTAATTCAAGTATGGCCAGATATTAGTATTAAAATAAACTTCATGCAGGGCTCTGTGGCATGCGTTGCACTGTGACATGCAACTGCTTGTGGTCCCAGCTACTCAGGTGGCTGAAGTAGGAGGACTGCTTGAGGCCAGGAGTTTGAGGCTAGCCTGGGGGATACAATGAGACCCCTTATCCCTAACAAACTAACTAGATAAATAAAACTTCAAAGTGCCAAGGATGGACTATCCCAAGAGGACCCAGATCAATCTATATGTTCACACAATCCAAGTTCAGACAAAATGGAAACTTGCTGCCAAACCAATTAACTTAAAAGCAGCATTGGCTTGGTGTCTGTGGCTCAGCAGCTAGGGCGCCAGCCATATACACCAGAGGTGGCCGGTTCGAAACCAGCCTGGGCTTGCCAAACAACAATGACAACTACAACCAAAAAAGAGCTGGGCACTGTGGCGGGCACCTGTAGTCCCAGCTACTTGGGAGGCTGAGACAAGAGAATCACTTAAGTCCAAGAGTTTGAGGTTGCTGTGAGCTGTGATGCCACGGCACTCTACTGAGGGCGACATAGACTCTGTCTCAAAAAAAAAAAAAAAAAAAGACAATCAGACATCATACTTCCCTGTGGAAGAACACAGCACCACCTATGACATGGTCTCACTAAGTCAATCAAACCCAATGGTGATCCGGTCTCTGGATCCAATTACCAACATACAGAAAATACAAAGGTTAGATACACATAGGAAACTATACCATGAAAAAAACATTCAGCAAAATCTAGCATGGAGAACTAGGAGGAGATTCCCTATGTTAAAAAAGACTAAAAAGACTTAATAATTTGAGCAGTGCCTATGGCTCAAGGAGTAAGGTGCTAGCCCCATGTACTGTTAAGTGTCGGGTTCAAACCCAGTTCCAGCCCAAAACTGCAAAAAAAAAAAAAAAAAAAAAAAGACTTATCAATTGCAACGTCAAGATGCTACTTAGATCCTAATTTTTTCAAAAATTTATTTGAACTTGATTGATATTTGATGATAGCAAGGATTTTTTGTTGTTGTTATAATGGCAGTGTAGCTATGTTTTTAAAAAAGCTCTTATTCATTATAGGTACATACCAAAATATTTATGGGTAAGATGATATAATAATACCTTTGACTTGCTCTAAAATAATATGGAAAGACAATGACAAATGCAGACATTTAGAGGAGAAAGAGAAACCCTCATAAATTGCCAGTAGGATGTGAAATGGCAAAGTCACTATGAAAAATAGATTGGCAATTTGTTAAAAAGCTGAACAGGCAGGGCAGTGGCTTACACCTGCAATCCAACACTATGGGAGGCCAAGGGGAGAGGATCACTTAAACAAGAAAAAAAAAGCTAAATATATATTTACCATATGACCCAGCAATTCCATTCCACTCCTGGCTATCACCCAAGAGAAATGAAAACATATGTCCCCACAAAGACTTGCATGTGAACATTTGCAGAACCATCATTTGTGATGGCCAAAAAATGGAAACAATTCAAATTTCCATCCACTGATAAATGGCTAAAGAAAATAAAATAAATCAAAACTGTGGAATAATATTCAACAATAAAAAGGAACTTGTTATTGATACATGGTACAATAAGGATGAAGAGAAAAGAAAAAAAATGGGACACAAAAAGACTATGGCTGTGTGATTCATTTACATGAAATATCAAGAAAGAGCAAATCCAAAGAGAAAGGAAGTAGATTAGTGGCTGCCTGAGGCAGGGATGGTAACAGGAATTGAGGGCAAACCACCACAAGGGATACTATGGGGGTGATAAAAACATTCTACAACTGGATTGTAGTGACAATTGTACCACTCCGTAAATTTAGTAACAATCATTGAATTCTACAGTTAAAATGAGTAAACTTCATGATATGTAAATTATACCTCAATAAAGTTGTTTTTAAAAAGCAAGGAATACTAGCTTGGCACTTGTGTTCAGAGGCTAGAGCGCCTGCCATATACATACACTGGAACTGGAGTGTTCGAACCCAGCCCGGGGCTGCCAAACAACGACAACTACCACCAAAAATAAATAAATAAATAAAGAGCTGGGCATTGTGGCAACACCTATAGTCCCAGCTACTTGGGAAGCTGAGGCAAGAGAATTGCTGGAGCCCAAGAGTTTGACACCATGGCACTACCAAGGGCAACATAACTGAGACTCTGTCTCAAAACAAACAAACAAACAAACAAAAAAAGCAAGGAATACAAAGAAAGGTCAAAAGAAAAAAATGAAAGGATTCATTTCCAATTTTAGAAATAATGAAAAATGAAAACAGAAGGATGTATATGGGGATGGTGCAGAATTAGGCACCAAATGATGGTTATTGAAGTTGGGTAAAAGGTACATGGAAGTTCATTATACTATTCTTTCTACTTTGTTAAATTTGAAATTCTCCAAAATAAAGAGATTTTTAAAAGATAAATGCACATTCCCAGTACTCAGTGACTTCATACATTCCCACTAGTCTGGGTCTCTAATCTAATTAAGTCTCCTATTTCTCTCAGTCAAAAGCAAAACCAAACAACCTAATGTTATTGCTCTGACAGGTTCTCTTCAGCTGGTTTCCTTTTCCTGAGGAAAGAAGTGTGTTAAAAGAAACAATTACAGTATTGCTTATGAAATGAATACTACAGCTTTTATTCAACAAGTTACAAAACTGGAAAACCACTAAGTAACTTAGCACAACAGAGAGAAACCAATCATCAGAATAACACCAATTCAGTATGCCCCTGCCACTAAGGTTGGTATACTTTTCCACCTATACCCATATTGCCACCATTTACTTAATGATGCCACCTGGCATTTAAATTCTAGAAATGTACAAAGAGCAATGTATTGGGAGTCAAGAGAAAAGGTCCTAGTGTGTTCTATTAACAACTTTGTCTCTAATTTGTACGTTGTATGAATTCAGCTACATTACTTAATCTAAGAGTTGGAATCTTAATCAGTTCTTAACCTGAAGTCATAAACCTAGAGCTGGGGCTCATACATAAGCTTCAGCAGGATTATAAAGCCTCACAAATTAAAAGAATGTTCACCTACCTATACTTCCCTTGGGAATGGTTTTATAGCTCCTAGCAGATTCTCAAAAAGAGCCAAGACTCACCTATCCTCCTGTGACTGAACTATTTTGTAATTTATAATTTTTGTTTACAAACAACAAAACTGATAACAAAGTATGGCTGCCTGGATCTATCTGGCCAAGCTACTGAATTCAGATTCTGTATCCTTTAAACTCTAAATGCAATGCTTCATGGTTTGCTAAAGCAATGTTCTTTCAACACAAACTTTCTACAATCCCACAACCTCGTAGAAAACTACAGCAGAAAAATAATGTATAAAACTTTAGGTCATAAGAACTTAATTTCCTATTGCCCAGATATGTTATTAACCCGCTGAGCCACCTGCAGGTACACTTAAGCCTTAGAGAACTTTTAACTGTGAGTTATAAAGCAAGATCCAGGGAATAATTCCAGGCCTATCCTAACGCTCTTCCTGAGACAAGGTTAAAAAAAAAAAAAAAAAACTGGCCCCCTAATTAGAAAAATATTTTTAATGCTAGTTTTAAATTCTTGGTCTCGTATTTCAAATTCCTCTTGGAGTTTCTCGCTTTGGTCAGTCCAGAGAGCGCCATAAACCAAACCGGGAAACTGAGGCTAAAGTTCTGCGTACCTTCAAACTACTAGGTACAGTACAAGGGCATGGAAGAGGGAAGACCACGGAATACGCAAGTTAGGATAAAAGTCGGAAGTGAGAAGGGAGAAGAAAAGCAGGTTGTTATCGGCGAGGAACCCAGGGAAACCACCAGGGATTGCAAAGGCGGCCTCCAGAGTCCTTCGGAGTTACGCCACAGTTCAGCCCCTTCCCCTCCCTCACCTCCACTCTTCCTGCTCCCACAGACGGCCTGAGGACCCCCCGCGCCGTACAGCTCTCCTATTTCCCCCGCCCGCTGTCAGACGCCCTAGACGAAAAAGCCCGCAGCCGGGGACAAACGAGAGGCCCAAAAGCTCGGAGGGCCCCACTGGGGTAAAGTTACCCTCAGCCTCGGGGGAGTGGCCTCGGCCTCCGCCCCCTGGCCCGGCACTGGCCCGGCTTACCTTGAGTGCCAGGTGGTGGACGCGGCCCAGGCTGGGCTCTGCCAGCAGCTGCAGCAGCCCCAGCATCGGGAGCAAGTGGAGGCCCGCGGCCAGCTGAGGACAGCCGGAGCCCGAGGGGCCGACTGGCGCCGGGGCAGCCATGTTTGTTCCAGCATCACCAGCCGCTTCCTCTCCCGCCCACTTCCGGGGTTAAAGGGCGGCGGCCGCCGGAAAGGCGGGTAGGGGGCGTCGCGGTTGCTTCTGCTGGTAGTGTAGTAGATTTACCCGAGGGTGAGCTTCAAGAAGTCGCAACGGCTCTAAGCTGGCCACCAAGGGACCTTTCGCTGTCCTCTCCCGTGCAGACTATCGGTTTAGCCAGAAGAGGTGAAGCCCCGGTGGCGGTTGCTATGACAACGGTGGCGGAGTAGGACCGGCCCAGGCCTCGCCTGTGCCTGGTGCAGCTTTGGAAGCGACTCTGGCCCAGGGACTTCTGACCTAAGCGGAGAGAGAGGCTGTGGCTGCGACACGATGCTTGGCGGTTCAGTGTACTGATTTCACCGAGGGTTAACTTGGCGGAAAATATCAAAATTCTTGACTTGCCATAGGGTCACTTTTTTTTTTTCCAGGCTCTTTACAAATTGCAGGCCAACCGATTGCAATAATACGGTTTTATTGAGTGAGTCCTTGTGAGGCAATTTGTTAGGCCTTTGTTGCATTTAATCCTGGAAAAATCCAGTTTGAGATAGGAGGTAGGTATTATTGTTATCCCCACTTTACAGGTAAGCAAACTGAGGCTTTTGAGAAATTAAGTCATTTGTTCCAGGTTGAGCTGGGAATCACATGGAAGCTCCCAACTACTGTGTTATAGTGTCTTGTGCTATAACATCTGACCACTTGTAGTCTGAGCCTTAACATTTTTCTCTTATTTCTGTGCGGAAATTGTCTTTGCTTCTAATCCCTCTTCAATGGGAGGATTCAATAGTAGGTCCCCTCCTACTCACCATTCTTTATCAAGGAGTTGTAGAACAACATGCTTATTGAAATTGCCAATAGAGTAGCCAGGTTTCTTTAGTTTTTAGAATCTTATTTTACTCACCACACAAGTAATGCATGCTTTTTCTGTGTAATCATTTAAGCAAAGGAGGAAAAAATAAAAACCACCAGGAATCCCAATATGAATTACTTGTCAGTGTCCTAGTGTGTTTTATGACAGAATCAGATTCTTAAAAGTTTTTAACTGGACCTAGGAACTGAAATTAACATGATATATTTTATTGGTGCTGAAGTACTACACTGAGGTTTAAAATGGGGGAGGGGGAATAAGAAGGGTCCTAGATTTTTTAATTGTGTGCAATCTTCATAAATGCATGAACCTGTGAATTCTTCCTTTGACTCAAAGACAGTACAAGTTCTGTCACATTCTCTGCAAGGACAAAAGTAGGACACCAAGGTAAGCCAGGAATATTGTGGTTTATCCTAAAATACCTGTGATGATCACTCAAGAGAAAAGCAGTGATTACTAACCCGTGGAGAATATCCCCTGTCTTCCCCAATCTCTGATCTTCGGCCATGTATTGTGAATGTGTAATCTTACATGTTTGAACAGAATTTACATTTGATTCTGCTACCCCTTTTTACAGATAAACTGAGCACAAGAAACTAATTATTATTTTGTGAATTCACACAGGTAGATAATAGGTTTATTTACTGAACAAATATGTCATATATTTTATTAAGCATTTTATACAGTACATTATCTCATTTAATGTCTCAAAAACCTTATACGGAGGCTGGGTGTGGTGGCTCAGGCTTGTAATCCTAGCACGCAGGAGGCCGAGGCAAATGGATTGCCTGAGCTCACACGTTCCACACCAGCCTGAGCCAGAGTAAGACCTCATCTCTAAAAGTACAAAAACCTGTAGAACTATATGGTTCAAAAAGCAAAGGTCTGCACATTTCACCTACTGAAAATCCCGAGAAGCCGGATTTTTTGACTTAGCCAGATGAATGAGAACAAAGCACAAGTATTTTCACAGCACACAAATGAGGTAGAGGGCGCTGGAAATTTTTCCTTATTTTCTATGTAGGTGGTGGACAATTAAGTTTGAGAATTCATCTTAGAAAAATTTCTGCACACCTCATTGCTGTGTATCAGTCACTACGGTCACCTCCAAAGTGCGCCCTTAGGAAGCTATTCGCTGATGCCAGGGCTTAGTCTACCCTCCCAAGCAATTCTGGAACTCCTTTTCTGGAATGGCCATTGGAGCTGTCGTCCTATGAGGTCTGACAATGAAGTTTGTGTACTCATCCCAGAAAGCGTGCTTTGAAGGATGGATTAGGTGCTGGCACAGTTCGTAGCTTCTCAGGGGAGTACTCGGAAGGTGACCGGAGTGATACTCAGCAAGGAAGCAGGTTGCACTTTTTCTAGGACGAGTTTGCAAACTTAGTCAGATCTCATATTTTTCTGTGCTTGTTTTTTTTCTTTCCCTCCTCTACTCTGAAGGAATATTTTTTATAGGTTTTTTTTTTTTTTTTTTGAGACAGAGTCTCATTTTGTTGCCCTTGGTAGAGTGCTGTAGTGTCACAACCCACAGCAACCTCCAGCTCTTGGGCTTAACAATTCTCTTGCCTAGTCCCAAGAGGCTAGGACTACAGGTGTCCACCACAATGCCCAGTTATTTTTTGTTGCAGTTGCCACTGCTGTTTTAGCTGGCAGGGGCCAGGTTTGAGCCTGCCACCCTCGGTATATGGGGCTGGCACCCCATCCACTGAACCACAGGTGCCACCCTTTTTATAGGTATTTTTGAGATCAGAAAAACAGCAACCTGTTGGGAGTCCTGGAAAACCCTAATTGGCACCAAAAATTTCTCTAGGATCTGCTAATGTTTAAGAGTATGATTAATTTTACCCTAGTCTTTGACCCAGCAATTCCATCTCCGATAATTTATCAATATCCATCGTAATGTTCATAATAGCTATTCATTTAAAATAATAATTTGAAACAAATGTTTAAATATTATGTCACACCCCTGATGGACTAATGTAAAGAAATATTTAATAATAAGGGAAGTAAAAGCTAAATATAATTTAAAATTTTCTTTTAAAGTTTTCAAAACAGGCTCGGCCCCAGTAGCTCAGAGGTTAGGGTGCCGGCCACATGCACCGGGCTGGTGGGTTCGAACCTGGTTCCAGCCTGCTAGAGAAACAAAGAAACAAATAGGTGGGTGTTGTGGCAGGGCCTATAGTCCCAGCTACTAGAGAGGCTGAGGCAAAAGAATCACTTCAGCCAGGAGTTTGAGGTCACTGTGAGTTGCAATGCCAGGGCACTGTACCCAGGGCGACATAGGGCGACTCTGTCTCCTTAAAAAAAAAAAGTTTTCAAAATAGTATTTATAGCATAACCCCATTATTGTAAAAACCACCATAGTTGCCCACCTCCTTAGGCTGCCTAATTTTCATAGACTAGATGTGCACCACATGGATGTATCAGTACCTAGGCCTAGTTCCTTATGTTGACCTCCTCCATAGTTGGTCAGTGTGTTGCAGTCAACTTACAGAGATTCTGCTATATTCTGTAACATATTTGAGAGCTATACCTTACCAGTCATTACTTTGGAATTGAGAGGAGTTAATAATGAGGGAAAACTGACTACAAAGACTTAATGTGAAGCACTTTTTAAAACAGTTACGTTTTAAATTCTGAGAAAACTGCTACTTTGACAATTATATTTAGGCATGTGATTTCATGGTTTCAAGAAAAGATTATTTGCATAAGCATGATACTGTAACTGGAAGTAGACATGTTGAGTAACAGAACAAGTTATGCCTGCTTCTCCCTGGCAGCATTTTCAAAGGGGCAGAAATTTTAAGGTATTGACAGAAAAAGCCTGCAGAGGCTAGAAAGACTGATCTCCTAAACTTAGCTGTTAGCTTTAGTCTTAGTCAACTGCAGTTTATTTTTCTGTTATCTCTAACTTTGCAACTAAAGGTTGCTACTGGTAGCAAAATGTATTACTTTCTGTGAATCTAGTGCTATTAATAATTATTTGGGGCGCCTATAGCTCAACCGGCTAAGGCGCCAGCCACATACACCTAAGGTGGCGGGTTCGAATCCAGCCCAGGCCCGCCAAACAACAATGACGGTGGCAGCCAAAAAATAGCCGGGCGTTGTGGCGGGCGCCTGTGGTCCCAGCTACTTGGGAGGCGGAGGCAGGAGACTCGCTTGAGCCCAGGAGGTTGCTGTGAGCTGTAATGCCACAGCACTCTGCCCAGGGGGACAGCTTGAGGCTCTGTCTCAAAAAAAATAATAATAATAATTATTTGGCATCCCTTTAGACACTTCCAGTGTTAACTGTTCTCCAGTTTACCAAAAGCCGTGACTTAGCTTTATACAATCGATGTAACAAAAACACCAATTAATATTTTCAAAGTAAAAAAAATTTCTCTAGTTTAATGAGGAAGCTATAGTTTCTCCATAATTGTCATTTATTGTCTTTATCAAGAGTTGATATTTCAGGCCAAAATCCTCTATAAAAACATTATAGAGGCTGACTGTGGTAACTCACACCTGTAATTGTAAGACTCTGGGAGTTCGAGGTGAGTGGATTGCTTGAGCTCAGGAGTTCGAGACCAACTTGAGCAAGAGTGAGATCCTTTCTCCACAAAAAATAGAAAAACTAGCTGGGCATTGTGGTGGGCGCCTAGGCTACTTGGGAGGCTGACACAAGGGATTGATTGCCTAAGCCCAAGAGTTTGAGGTTCCTGTGAGATATAACACCATGGCACTCTACCCAGGGTGACAGACAGAGACTGTCTGAAAAAACAAAACATAACCTTACATGGTTGGGCTCACTGGCTCACGCCTGTAATCCTAGCACTCTGGGAGACTGAGGTAGGTGGATTGCCAGAGCTCATGAGTTTGAGACTAGCCTGAGCCAGAGTGAGACCTCATCTCTAAAAGTAGCTGGGCATTGTGGCAGGTACCTATAGTCCCAGCTACTGGGGAGACTGAGACAAAAGAATCACTTAAGCCCAGGAGTTTGAGATTGTTGCAAGATAATGCACCATGGCACTGGGTGACAGAGTAAGACTCACTCTCAAAAAACAAAACATTATGGGGAACTAGCTATCAAATTGGGGTATGGAAATGCATTTAGAAGTCAAATGTCACTTTGATCTTTGACTTGAAACACTGTTTCTTCCATAATTGCAACTAAGGTTTTCAAGTACTTCTTGGAGGTGTAGGGAAAGTCCCTGAGATCTTTTTGCAGAAAGTGATCTTCATGGAAAAGCCAGGTCCTGATCGGCCCCATATACCGAAGGTGGCAGGTTCAAACCTGGCCCTGGCCTAACTGTAACAAAAAAAATAGCCGGGTGTTGTGGTGGGTGGGCATCTGTAGTCCCAGTACTTGGGAGGCTGAGGCAAGAGAATCGCTTAAGCTCAAGAGTTTGAGGTTGCTGTGAGATGTGACACCACACCACTCTACCAAGGGTGATAAAGTAAGACTTTGTCTCTAAAAAACAAAAAGAAAAAGAAAAAGAAAAGCCAGGTCCTGACAGGTAGGAAGGATGTCAGTACAGTGTCCCTGACCCTTGAATCCTTTGTGTTAGAGATGAACTTCCAAATCACTTCTCAACCTCGTGGCATGCTGCCACTCTTGTTCACCCAATTTCTCTTGATTTTATGTACATCTTTACAGACTTTTAGGGCAATTTGATTTTAAGTTGTAAAAATGGGTTGGAGTTTTAAGATTCTTAAACTTGGGTGGTACCTGTGGCTCAAGGATAGAGTGCCAGCCCCATATACCTGAGGTGGTGGGTTCAAACCCAGACTTGGCCGAAAACTAGGAAAAAAAAAAAAGAAAGAAAGAAAATGGTAAGATTCTTAAACTTGGGGTTCCTGGTTTTATCACATCAACTTTTTCCACTTGAGTGCTTTCTTGGTTCCTTAGTAAGTAGTTTAAATGCTAAAGAAATGAGAAATTTTAACCTAAAAACAAGTTATTTTAAAGAAAAGATTCTGAGAATTTCATTAGGAGTAGTATTTCATCAATAGGCAACCAATCAACTACAGTTGGGGCAAGCTGTCCTGCTGCATCATGTAAGTCAAAATCCTCCAGGAAACAGGAGGAAGGGAAAGGGAACCAGTACATGTGTCCATATTATATGCTAAGCATTTTACATGCATTCTTTCTTTTGATCTTTGCTATATTCTTTTAAGTAGTATTGTTTCTGTTTGTTTGTCTGTCTGTTGTTTTGAGACAAGGCAGAGTCTCACTTCGTCCCCATTGGTAGAGTGCCGTGGCATCATACCTCACAGCAACCTCAAACTCTTGGGCTCAAGCAATTCTCTTGCCTCAGCCTCCTGAGTAGCTTGGGAGTACAGGTGCCCGCCACAACACCTGGCTATTTTTTTACAGATGGGATCTGGCTGTAGCTCAGAATGGTCTCAAACTTGTGAGCTCAGCTGATCCACCTACTTCAGCCACCCAAAGTGCTAGAATTATAGGCTGTGCCTGGCTCACTGTTTTTGTTTTAAAGAGTTGGAAACTGAGGCTTAGAGAGGGAAAGTAATTCTTCCAAAGCTGTATAGCTGTTACAGAGCTATCCAAATTTAACTACCTCAAAGCCTGTGCTCACCCCGACACCTTCACTTCAGCCTAGTAACAACCTATGAGGTCTCTGTTTTGTGAATGAGGAAAACTGAAGCTCAGAGAATAAGGAGGTAAGGATCCTGCAGAAGGCCACACACCTAATAAGCAGTGGAACACTGTGATCTCAATTTAACAGTTACAAAACCCATCTGCATTAGAATCTCGTATCTATGTATAGCTATGTGGATAACTATACATCCAAGCCCCTGAATTAAATGTTAATTACAAGCAAGTTTTTTTTTTTTTTTTTTTTTTCCGATTTGAGACAGAGTCTTACTATGTTGCTGTCAGCATCACAGCTCACAACAACCTCAAGCTCTTGGGCTTAACTGATTGTCTTGCCTTATCCTCCCAAGTAGCTGGGACTACAGGTGCCAGCCACAATGCCTGGCTATTGTTTTGTTGGAGTTGTCATTGGCAGGCCTAGGCCAGGTTCAAACCCACCAGTTTTGGTGTATGTGGCTGGCGCCCTACCCACTGAGCTACAGGCACCACCAATTGTTTGCTTCATAGCATAAGAACCTATACGAGGTCTTATCTGTTTGTCCAGATATGTTATTTCAGTGCTAATATTGTCTATGTGATCAGATTATTCAGTGGAAATATATATTTGAGTCCCCCACTGAGTGGGAAAAAAAAACTATATAAACCTAAAGTGGTTTTTCTTTCTTTAAATGTTTTCCTTAATAATAGTTTACAGAGAAGATGTTTATGACTAAATGTGTGGGAATTTTTCTGCACCACATAAGTAATTTTGTTGCAGGTATCAGCTGAGTGTCTTCCAAAGCCATTTTATTTTGATGCTATCTACCTGGAGATAGCATAATGTCAGGTTTCACAGGTTGAAGCCTTAGTCCTCAAGATTGTGCCTCCCTGTAAATGTCAATCATAACTTTTAGGTTGTTTTATCTTTTTTTTTTTTAACCACTAGCCCACCAGGGAGTAATATGTTAAGAGTGGCTCACAGAACTTAGGGCAACATTTGTGTTTACTGGCTTAGGATAGATAGATGGAAGAGATGTATAGAATGAGGAATGGGGTGGGGGTTGCCATCCTCCTGAAACTTTTATGTGGTTAGTCTCTGAACTTTGTTGACTGTGGTTTTATGGAGCCTGTATTATGTAGTCATACTTCATTAAACTGTTGGTCATTGGTGATCATCTTTAGTTTTAGCACCTCTCCCCCTCCTGGGGTGGGTTCGGGGTAGGTATGAAAGTCCTGAGCCTCTGATCATATTTTGGTCTTTCTGGTGACCAGCTGCCCTCCTGAAGCTACTGAGGGACTAGCAGCCATCAGTCATCTCATTAATGTATAAAAAGACATCACTTTGGAGTTGTTAAGGGTTTTGGGAGTTGTACGTTAAGAAATGAGATTAAATATGTATTTTTACAATATCATATCCATCACGGTCCTAACTTTTTACATCAGTGTTCTCTAGGTGCTGCTGAGAGGTGAAACTGGTGTGTACAACCTGGGCTGACCCCCTGGGTAACTCCAGAATTTACAGAGTTTGGAATACCCTTCGTGAAAACGGATTCCTAAGTAGGTCAGTAGTTTGTTAACAGGGAAACTTCTTTGTCTTAATCACTCCCTCTTACTCTAAGGGAAACTGAAATGGATTTAGTTCTTCCTAAAACATACTGTGCTGTACTTTTATCTTCTTTCCTGCTGGCTTATTTCATTTTGTCCTGAACCTGTTGTTTCCATTGGTTCAAGATCATTGGTATCTTTCTCCTTTAATTTTTGAAGATTCTGACATTTTCAAACATTTTCCAGTTACTACCAAAATTTAATGAAGTTAAAGATACTTGCAGGGTGCTGTAATTAACTCAGTTCCACAGAGTTCTGCTGCTGTTTTAATGGGTTCCTATAACTAACAATTTCCTGCTTACTCATCTTAAAAGGTTTCATCTTCATGTGGTCTCATTTCCTTCTTGTGCTGTGCCTTCCTCTTTCTCTTCTGTAGGCATCAAGTTGTTTTACTACTTGATTAGCATATTTGTACAAGTGGTCACTCTCTTTCTGAGAAGTCTCAGTCAACATTAGATCATTGTACTTGAAAAAATAATCAAGCCTTGGCAGTAAGGGAAATTGAGGTGATTACCCAGGCAAGGAGGCAAGGTCTTAGACAAACCTGCATTTCATTTACCATTTCCAAATTTCAGCATACTGACTTGTGCAGCATTGCTTGAATTTCCATCCCTTCCAACTCGCCCTGGCTATTGATAATCTACCTTGGGATGTAGGTGGATAGGCGTCTTGATAGTTACATATTGAGCAGATCATCAAGTAAGAAGTACTTAGACCTGGTGAGGGCAAAAGTATTTAAACAGACACAAAAATGGCAGGGGCCGCCAGGGGCTCGTAACTGAAAAAAGGCAGACCAAAACAGTTTTGACAGTTTAGATTTATTGTAACTCTTGGACAAAGGAAGTAGACTTCGAGGTTAATCGGCCCCGGCTTCTTTAGCTCCGCCCTTTCAAGGAGAAGAAAGATAAACAGGTTGAGAATTGTAGGTGGGATTGGAAAAATTATTTTCATAAACTATTTTTTAAACGCAGGCCTATTTGGGAGTCACGGCTACTCAGAAAAGCATTAACTGAGGGAGGAAAGTTGTGGGAAAAGGGCCGAGTGATTGCGTGGAAAGAGTTGGAATTCCAAAAATTCTCTGTAGTTTGTCGGGAATGACTTTGTGTAGACTTTTGGAATACAAGAGAGGGAGTCAGTGTCTACATAAAGTGAACTGACAGTTACCAGCCGGAGGCTTGGCCCCTTACTCGCCGCCACACCAGGAGACTGATAGCCTATTGCCTCCGTGTGGCAACGGAGCTTGCAGAGGTAGAGGCGTCGTCCAAGGCCACCCAGTTAGTACGTGGAGGATTTAAATCAAACAACTATCTGTGGGCCCAGCGCCTTTGCTTTTACCCACTAGGCGGTAGCATGATTTCACGTCTGAGAGTTTCTTGGCCGAAATAAGTTGGAAATCACTGGTTTCAGAGATTAGAAATCACTGGGTGTACGCCCCTGAATTCCTTTGCCAGCCGCTTGAAGCCGCTCGGTGGCTGTTCGCCTCCACGTCCTTATCACCGTAGACGCCGCCGTGCCGGGCCCCGACTCCACGGCGCAAGGCTGCGGGGCTCCTCGCGGCTGCAGCGCGGTGGGAAAAGAGCGTCCCGAGCAAACTGTCGGTGTGAATGGCTGCCAGGGGCCAGTATTGTCCTGAAATCCAAAGGGCGCTTGGGGCAGCAGAGCAACCTCAGACCTCTGCGGAGCATCCGTAATGACAGGGGCTGGCTACGTTCAAAGGCGAGTGGCTGCCCTAAGAGCAGAGAGAATGTTGCTAATAAGTAATAAAAAAGAAACTGGCAGGTAGACGTCCTCCAGGTTCCAGATCTCGGCCTTCCCTCCCTCCTCCCTCCGCGTCCTTCCGGACCCCGGGGCGACGCCGACCCGGCCGGGGGAGCCCGCGGGAGGTGGGCCGGGCCGGGGGCGGGGAGGGCGCGCG